CCTCCTGCCCACCCGTCAAAAATGGGTACCTGACTTCGAGTTGGGGAAGTAAAGGCGGAGTGGAAAGGAACTGGCTACCCTACCACAATATGCCGAAGCCCCACGAAGTTGTCTCACTAAGAAGGCAATCCCCAATGTCCGGATCGGATACGGGAACAACTTTACTTTACTTACTGTTAATCAGAGTAATCAGTTTCAGTAAGAGTTTTACGGCACTTGTGACACAAATACGTCATATAAATGCCAAAGAATACAGGGCGCACCTGCCCACCACCACCAACCAACCAAAGGAACTTAAAAATTCTATTTTGCCCTGCAGGTAACTGAGAGCATAATATTATGTTGTAAGAATAATATTTCAAGACTCGCCCATAATGCCTTTCCTTCACACCATGAGTCCACATACGAGTCTTGATGAATTTATGTATTATACAATCGTATACTGGCCCTTTCAAAAACAAAGTATGCATGGCAAACCTGGGACTAACAAAACCCGCAAAAGTTTTGACATTCTTACACACAACATCGAAAATTGCTTAAGCTTACACACAGCCTACAGGAAACAACATAATATGTATGTAATAATAAAACGTTCAATAACACTTTCAAAGCGTTCAGTTTCCTCTTCAGACTCAAAGAAAATATCAAACACTAAACAGCCGAGAGGTCTAGGGTAAATACTTCAGGAGGCCACTCCATTACTCTATAGAGGGAAACAGACTTCCCTTGACGACCAAGGCTTAGGTACATGTGATACACCCACACTAAGCATTACGAAACTGCATTAAAAAAAACAACTAAAAACCTCCCTTATTACTCATAAATTGAAACGCAATGTCCAAAATCATCTAAATCAAGAATTAACCCTATCCGTACGCCCTGGGGTCATTTTGTACTCCCAGAATTGTATTCTTCACATTTTAGAATACTTCTAGTACGAAGATCTCTTTGAAACTCAAGAAATCATTTTGACAGACTGCTATGCAAAGCGCATGGATCAGATTAACGAATAAATTTCCTTTTTGGAAAGTGGTGGCACAGAGTTCCCCACATCGCATGGACACGATAGTAAAACACGACGTATGGATAGGTTAAAATTCGACCTATTTTCCATAAACAAATATCACAGCCTACTGGTGTCTGCTACGACGCTGTATCTCTCTCCGCCCAGGTTGGCCCCGACATAAACAGCCTGCCTCCTTATTGATCAAAATTATGTCAGAAGGGGCGTAAAACATCTACAGTTATTCAGATAAATACATCACAGCCTTAACATTTCATGGCATTTTCCAAAATATCAAGAAACAAGAATAGGTTGATTCCCCAGCGAATGAAATTTAATAACGATGTTCGATGTATTTCTCTGCTTCTTGACCAGCAGTTTTCAGTTTTACACTAATATTGAAATAGCAGTTCATCCATTTTGTTTGCCTCAAACCTCAGACCTCGATGTATAAATGATAAATCTAACTTTACTTCAGTGCCAATTAAATCTGAAGTACAGTAAGAGACCATCAGTACTACATTTTTGTATTCAGCCATTCAATTCTAAAGAAGGGACAATAGTTAGTTATAATTATAAATAACTCACACATGAATACAGTCTTTGCTCCGAACTTCTGTTTTCTCTGTCAAAAATCATCTCAAAACAATAACTTCACACCCTCTGGTTTTCAGGCCTCTATCAAATAATGTGTATCTGCTGATTGTAATAAATTATTTGAAACTGGGATTTTTTTTTTTTTCTTTTCATCGAGCTCAGGCTCTTTTGAAGCTGATTTCATTGGACACAAAGTTCTCTGAATTTATTTTCCACTTATAGTCTAGCATGCGTAGCGAAACACACACAGAGTAAACAGATTTTCCACTCCTGAATTTCTGCATATACATGAATATGTTTGTATTCAAGACACACGCATAGTGAAATTTATACATAACGAAAAGATTTCCCTGTCCCAAACATTTCTCTACGTGTATGCTAGACTGTACATCACTTGTCAAGGCACAGTGCAGTGGCTGTTAACAATTTTCAAGAAAGACTATTCAAGTAAACAAAGCAGCCAAAATGAGACATGTAATCTTCCAATAAAGAACTGCTATAAAAGATGAAAGAATACATATAAAAATATGTTTTAGACCAAATTTTCTGCTTAGAGTAATAATGCAAGACAAGAGAAAGAACAGGAGATCCCGCTGTATGTTTACTTCTCATGCAACATACACTTTCACTGCATGGAAGATGAAAGAATACCTAAAGACCTCCTCAATAGAGAAAAAGAGAATGAAAGGACGAAAACGGTTAGCTTGGGCAAAGACAAAAAGACGTCAGCAAAAAGGACATGCTCTCAACAGGGATCGATTTTAAAATGTGGATCAGACGGTAGAAGATCGTAGACTCAGGAAGAGAGAAGTCACAACCATTCCCAAGATGAAAGAGAAAGATGTGGCAGTGTGGGTGCAATTTTAAAAAGAAGAAACAGTAAAATTTGTCTATTTCCTAAGAAACATTGCTTTCTTGGTTTAGAATACTTCAACAGCATACAGATGACATAGTATGAAGCAGTGATTAACAGTCAGCAGAGTATCAGCAGTAAGCAACAGTGTCGGCATGAAATTGTAACATTTCAAACATTTGATCAAATTACAGTAAATTTGCTTTGTGTAGCCAAAAGACTTCAATGTCATCAATATCATTCTCTCGCTTGTCAAGTGGACAAACGCCATAAAATGTATGTCAAAGTTAAAAACTTGTAAGCTACCCTTAAGTTGAAAACATCTGTTCACAATAATATACCAGCACAAACATTGCCATTTTTTTAAAGCACTTTCAAAATTCAAATTCAATCACACTTTGGTAATGTTATGCTTTTCACATTGGTTGAAGACGTTTGCTGAGCTTAAATAAGCTTTTTATAAGGGTCCAACACATCATCGAGAGAACATGCAGATATATAAATAGAGGCTTTAGTTTGAGCTTTCAAACCCACTAGACTTTTTGCTATAGACAACAAAGGCACAATTTACATCGAAAGCTTGCACTTCTACTTTAGAAAAATGTAGAAATTTGAAAATAAAAACTGCACTGGTATAACCAACAAAAATTTAAGATTTTATTTCAACAATTCAGATAGTGTATAAATGGCAAAACATGCTGCTTTAAGAAATAATCATATAAAGATTACATTTTTTAAAAAGTGAATCAGATCTAAGGTTATGCAACACTGATGTTTTCATTGAGACAATTTATGTTATAATAAGAATACAGAGAGAGTAAAGTGCATCATAAGAAGTCAGGGAAAGCAGAAATAATTATCTGTATGATCAACTCTGCAAACACAAGATTTGAAATCACTTGTACTGGAATATGTGGTATCAAATATCTCGTGGGAAGTCAGTCATTACTCTTATTTTGGATGTACATCATTCTTTTTATCTGTGTAAAAACTATTTCTGTGTACTTTTATCAAAATTACGCTTTAAATGACAGTACAATCAACAATCATTTATTATGGAAAACAACAAGACAATAAATATCAAGTATTATTCGTTTCCTTTAAGGACTGGAATCAACATCCAATGGCATTTGGCCAAACCCAGTTCCTGAAGGGAACATGACAACAGTGAGAGAATTCAGGTAAAACGTAACAAGAGACATTCTACATTCAGGATTTGCACCAGGCTCTCTCACCTGTTCCTGATCAGCAAACAAACTCACAAGAGAAAAGAAACTACTTACCCCTGCTTCACTCTTAAAAATAGCTCACATCAGCAATACAAAACAAATCAGAAAAATCGTTAAAAAACTAGAAATATATATACTTTTAACAATAGACAATTTAGATTCCAAAACATCTTTTGAAAATTTTACCACATTATTTGAAGGAACTTGTAACAAAAGAACAACAACCCAAATCAGAAATTCTTGAGGCAGTTTGAAGAATATGTTCTAAACTTAAACCACATCATATCTTGAACTTCAGGCAGAGCAGATTTTATTCTAGTTGGGTTTTTTTACATCAGTTAAAAGGGGCAGCAAATGTAACTTGTGTTACACCACAACAAAACCTTTAGAACCCCCCCCCCCCCCCCAAAAAAAAAACTGAAGCAGGGAAAGGAAGTCATCGCAGGCAGTATTGCATAGAGACGTATCTCAAACGTTGCCGAGAATGACTTATGCCTGTACGCAATACTGCCAGCGTCATACCGGTTCAGCACAACAGCAGAGCAAGTCGTTCCGAGTGTTGGAATATTTACTGCTGAACCTCCACAAAGGCAGCTGGGAACATCCCCCTGTTTCCATCCAACTGTCCCCACCGCCACTCTCCGGCATCGTCCACAAACTCCTCCAGTTCAATGAGGTCACCCTCCTGCCACAAATAGATGACCAAAAGGAATAAAATGTGTTGAAAACATGAACTAAAAACCCTATGGCAACAATCATATATAAATAAAATACCACCAACTTCTGGGCAATGTTTAGACACTGTCACAAAACATTTTAAAATATCACGCACAAAAAAACGCACCAGTATGTACATAAACAGCCAAAAGACAATCATAGCTCCTTCAAATAGTGGGACTATTATGTAATACATTTATAATCATTCTAGATCCTCCAAATATTTTGAAGACTATGAAAAACTGGTTGGATTGTGAAAAATAATTGCATCTACAATGTTTGTATGTGTTATATATATGTATGTATTGTTACGTCTACATGTCTTAGTTTCAGTAAGTGTATTACGGCACTTGCAACACAATAAGGTCATGAAAGTGCCGAAGATTAGAGGAGTTCCAAGAGAGTAACATACACAAAAAAGGAGGAGAGATAAGGACGATAGATGTTTGACAGGAAAGAAGGAGCAAACCACACCAGAGCACCCGCCAACCACCCACGTCTACATGTCTACAATGCATGCATGTTTAATCTACAAATTATTGATAATGTACAAACAGAACACACTTAAAATAACAGATGATAAACATGATAAGACATAGCTGCCACTCAGGAATTTCAAAAAAAGGAGGAAATTTACGCGAAGACGTACGCGAGCTCTCCGAAGGCCGGAGTAAAACCAGTGAGATCCAGAGGCAATATACCGGAAAATCTACCCTACGGTTTTGGAAGGGAAAACTGTCATATTCGTTAACCATAGACAACTGAATTAAAATGTATTTGAAAAAATAAAAACAAAAAAACAAAAAAACAAAGGCACTAAATTGACTTACAAACATTTGAGTCATTTTGACACAGTTTGGACTTGCTAAAAACCCAGTGATAGTTGCCAGCTGGTGTCTCATAAAAAGATTTCTTTCACTTTAAACTTGTACATCGATGTAGAGCAGTATTGGATCAGGGAGGCAAAACCTTTGCCGCAGTACTGAGAGATTTCGGCACTCCTGTACAATTGCGGTCCCGTTTGCACTTAGTACCCCTGTAGTGTGTTTCTTATTTAGTGATCTAATTGAATTAAAATTATAGCCTAGGCTATCTAATCTAGATCTAGAATCTAGATATCTAAAATATGTGTAGACCTAGATTATATCTAGAGACAGATTATCTAGATCTAGAATCTAGATCTAGACCCACTTCCACAGCCACAATAGCCGTCATGTAAACAAACGGGACCGCAATTGTACAGGAGTGCCGCGATTTCTTTATCGCACCAAATAACAAGTGCACACAGCAAGCGGCTTGTTCAATTTTCTAATGAACTTTTCAAGTCGCACACCGTCTGCTTCTTTCTCATTCCAGCTCCTTTTATTTTTGCATTCTGCATCAATTTCTCTCAAATTCCCACCGTTTTCAATGACAACTCGGCGCGCTAATGTCCCGATGCCCGATCGTCACAGTGTTGCTCCACAACGATAAACAATGTGAAACTAGCGCTAGGTCTAGAAGAACGGAAGTAGAAAGCTTCTGGGCGGACATGCGCAAACCGCGTTTTCGTCTCTCTCCCAGTTCGGTGTTTTCCGCGGGGAAAAAAAATATTGCAATTTGCGACCGAGAGCGGTCCAGCGGAGGGAGGAAAGTAGCGGGAAAAGCTAGGTGAAGCGGAGTTTTCACTATTTAGCGGGAAAGTGGCAGCTATGATAAGAACACTTTAAAATGTAAATAAAATCCGGATCTGCCAAGAAAAGAATATCTTGTTGAAGAATTTTTCAATTCACTGTTAACAGTCAAAGAATATAAATTTTAAGCAAACACTGCTTTTAAAAATACAATAATCCTGAACAGAATGCGAAAGAGTATTGGGTATTTCATAGCATTATCATGGGAATAAATGCTTTTGCCATGACAAAATTATCAATTATGAGAAAAAAAATAGCAATTTCTGTACAATGCTTTTGATACATAATTTTTACCCATAAATGGTGACAAAAAGAAAATGCACACATCCAGTGATCAACCTACCTTGAAAGAAAGATCAGACTCTGTTGAAGCTTCAAAGGGGAAAAGGGCCAAGCCAAAGACAGGTTGATGCTCTTCTGAAAGAACAGAAAAGCCATCGGTTTGACCAAAATGTTCCATCATATATATGTGTCTGAGCTTTTAACACTGTACGTTCCATCCCAACATTTATGGTTATCCACTCACACAACGAAATTCAGAGTCCCTAGAATGAAGTTATGATCTTTTGGTGAGAGAAGTTTTTCATATTTTGGTTCAAAAATGTTTAACTCTTTGGAACAGGACCTCAGAAAAATAACAAATCCTAATACATTTAAGCGATTGCTTCAGACATATTTGTTTAAGACTAGGTTGGAGTGTGATAGCAGGTGCTGATGAGTCTTGTTTTCACTGCTGTTCTTATGACACTATAATTTTAACATATGGCTGATAAAGTTCTTCCTAATGTGGTCGAAATGGTTTCCTTGTTTATATGAAATACTTTTTCCTACGTGTATGAACCAGGAGAAGAGTCACGGAAATGGATGTACAGAAAAGTGGGAAGACATGGTGTGACAACGAGCGACTCGCCCAGGATAGGGAAAGGTGGAAAGTGTTCGTTCGTGGCCTATATCCTGATCCAGGGTGAAAAAGGCAATGATGATGATGATGATGATGATGATGATGATGACGATGATGTATGAAGTTTTACTCTCAGTAATCCTATCATCAATGTAAAGCACTCAGAGCTCATACTTGTATGGAATTGAGGCCTATATAAATGCAGTCTATTTTTATAATTATTATTATTATCATTCAGTTGGTATGAACACTATTAAGATGAGAACAATGAATGACATAATTTCCCCTGAACACTGTCAATGAATTTAACACAAATTGCAAAATACTATAACTGGTGAAAACAACTAGATTTACAAAATAAAGTAGGCTATTTTTTTGTTTTGTTTTTAATACAAAAATGTACTTTAAACCCCCCCCTAAAATTCTTTCTATAACCAAACCGAACAAAACAACACCCATAAAATTCTTTCTATAACCAAACCGAACAAAACAACACCCCCCCCCCCCAAAAACAAAAACAAAAAAACAAACCCCACATTGAAAGGCTGAATGATATTTTCACACTAATTCTTGGACAAACACTAACAAAAGAAAAAACAAAGAAATACCTTTAGTGGGTTCACTCTGCTTGCCATCAGTTTCCACCGCTTCCATAGATACGAAGGCCACGGGAAACATTCCTTCTCGCCCGTGTAGGCGACCGCTCAGCCAGTCCTCCCCAACAAACTCGAGTACTTCGATGACATCACCGGCTACAAATTCAAGGTCTCCTGGTGGGGCATCCATATAGTCGTGCACAGCAGTGCAAAATGTCAAACTGGACTGTAAAGAAGTAATTGCATACACATATAATATATTTTCGACGATAACGAACGTAACACATATTCTCATTAATTAATCAAAAACACTTTTCTTCTTTCGAAATGCTTTTTCCACATTTGATTAACCTATTCATACCATGAAAAGAGTCTTTCATTTGCTGACTTGTGAGTGGCACTTTTCAACATTCAAATCCAGGTTTTTTTGAGATTCATTTCCCACAACACAGAATACTTATAACTCAAGATATCAAATACGACTTTAATTTTAACAAACAAATATTTATGGCTGCTCAATGAACCACCCCTGCAACTACTTTTTTTTACACCCAAAAACAACAATTACTGACAGAGAAGAGCAGGAACACAGCAAGACAGCTCATCTGACTCTTCCACAAAAGGCAACGCATGAATATTTTCTCGAGACTTTCAAAACAAAATTGTATTACACTGTGCATAAGATATCGCATTCTATGGTCCTTGACTGACAGCTTCAGCAAAGATTTTATCTTTGAAAAGCTTCCCATACCAGAAAGATATTCCAAAATCTACAACGCAACCACTTTGATGAATGAGTTTTCTCCCAATTTTCTCCCCGAACTCCTGCTTCAAGATTCTTCTGATGACCTATTTCTGTTATTACATGGCCCTTTAGAACTTAAACCATTAGCTTTTACACAAGGAAAACCAAAATGAAGCGGGGAAACAAGCCCAACTTTGATATTGCAACATATTGACAGTAAAACATCTACCCTTCCAGGACCCTATACATTCATCCAAGACAGTATAACTTACATGCAAATAATACTTACAAAAAAAGAGCATCAGCAAAATGAGAGTGAAAAAATCGACTCTCTATTGAAAAGTACGCGTAAGTCTCCTCCGTACAAAAACAAATTAAATACTGGTAATAATATATATATATATATATATATATATATATTCTGGTACTAAAAATCTCTAAAGCTCTAAATAAAGTCTCTTTAAAGGAAATTCCATCTCATTTATACTGAAATAAAACAATTCATAATCATTGTCACCTGCGCCCCTGTGCTGTGGGAGCTAGATGAAAGAGTTCCAGGCTCATCCACGGGCAAGTCCTCCACAATCTCCACAAAATCCCTGGGGAAAATGCCTTGCTGTCCGCACAGTTCCCCAGTTATCCACTCCGACTGAGAGCCTGTGTAGCCCAGAATCTTAATCATGTCCCCTGTGTAGATTGTGAGGTCTCCATCTCCCTCTCCTGAAGATGTTCCCCGCAAGAAGAAAATCAGAAGCAAAAGTATGCGTAAATAGTCTTGTTTTAGTAAGCGGAGTTCATCAACACCTAAGCCCTTACCATCTAATCTACCATGAAGAGCAAAGAAGAAGAAGAAGAGTAAGTCTTTTATGGCACTTGCAACACAATAAGGTCATATAAGTGCCAAAGATTAGAGGTTTAAAAGAGAGTATCAAACACAAAACAGAAAGAGGAAAGATAATGATGACAGATGTCTGACTTTGATGGGAAAGAAGGAGCAAACCACACCACAGCACCTGCCAACCACCTACGTAAATAATCTAAAGTTATCCAAATCACCAAAATGTATAAAAGTCACTAAATCCTTACATTATCGTAATGATTTCACATTTCTAATATATCTTATTCATCGATTGAGAGAGGACAAAGAAAAAGGTGCATAAAATTTTTAAAAAACGATATAAACACACTCACACAGCCTAAAGGATCTAAAGCCAATAGTACAGTTTATGCGCATCGCCGAACTATCTGACTTTCATCAAAATTGAAGAAGAAGAGGAAGAAAAAGTTGCTCACAGGCAATGTCTTGTACATTCTAAGGAAGGACTTTCGGGTGACGATTTTTTATTTTGTCAGTTCTAGTATGAGGTATGCGGCACTTGCAACACAGATAGAAGGTCAAATAGGTGCTGAAGAATAGAGGTACTACAAGAGAGTAAAGTAAAAAAGAAAAAAAAAGGAAAGATAAACACAATAGATGTATGATACTAAATAGAAAGAAGGAGCAAACCACATCAGAGCACCCGCCAATTGACAATTTGAAAAATAATCTATGACACAACCTCTGTTATAATGGCATTGGTAAACCAACTGGTACAATGAGACATCAGAGAGTGAGACATTTCAGTTACTATTGAGTATTTTCCATTGCCTTTAATCTGAAAATCTCTCATTAAACTTCAAAGACCTGCAGCTTTCTTCTGCCATTATAACAATAATAATAATAAGGAGGAGGAGGAGGAGGAGGAGGAGGAGGAGGAGGAGGAGGAGGAGGAGAAGAAGAAGAAGAAGAAGAAGAAGAAGAAGAAGAAGAAGAAGAAGAAGAAGAAGAAGAAGAAGAAGAAGAAGAAGAAGAAGAAGAAGAAATGTAACATAGATTAATAAAAATAATAATAATAACTGTATTTTTATGTAACGACTATTCATGCTCTACAACAAGCACTATGTGCTTTACAACTATGATTACCCCAGCAGACCCCAGAACACTCAAAAACAATCCAAGCTTCCCAGAAAGTACAGAGTACAAGCTGCCAATTGCACATACTCAAACACTAACAAACTGATAAGATCTCTCACTCTCTTCAGCTGGTAGCCATTCCCACCTAGACGGAGTGAGGAAAATTCATGTAAAGTGCCTTTCTAAAGGACTCAATGTTGAGCCCCTGATGGGATTGGAACCTACAATTTCATAGTTGAGAGTCTGAGAGCCTAGCCACTAGACCACCAATGCCACCATAGTATTCACCTTCAAAGTCATAAATTGCTCTGCATCGAGGTCCAGTCAAGTGTTCGCTGTTTCCATTATAATCCTCCTCTACGAGAACAGCCTTGGAAATGGGCAATTCATCAGATATTCTCTGACAGTCAGGGGAAGACTGGTCACTGGAATCCTACAAAAAGAACACTTAAATGTTAAGTGTGCTGACAAAATGAGTTTCTCCAGAGATTTTAGCCCTACTGAAATAGATATATATAATGTCAAATTTATAGTTGGAGTTTGCAGAATCTATAAGTATGAAATGATGAAAGACATGTTATCATTATTGAACTTGGTCGAACATTTTTGGCCAATATGAGCGTGTGCCTAGGGAAAGGTCAAGTTGTTGGAAATTTTGGATATTGAAATAAGGGCATATTCTTGTAGCAATTCCAATGCTGAGCAGACTTCTGGCTGTTCAGAAAAACCCAATTTATGAGGAAGTACTCCTGGAAAACCTCCCTCATCATAATTATATGGTACAGACACCTTAAAACCAGACAGTAATCTACTTCTTCAGTAAATAGTACATCAAAGCAGAGAACAGGGAAAATGGAGAGGCTTACTGTGGCAAGGAGGGGAACACCGATGGACCAACACGGTTATGGGGACAGGTGAATAGGAAGTCATTGATACCTTATGTTCAAACTCACCACAGCTGGACATACGTAAATAATAATAAATAATAATAAATAGCATTTGTATAGCGCAAAACCACTCTCTACAGCAAGCTCTATGCGCATTACACTGTATTATTACCCCAGCAGACCACAGAATACTCAGAAACATTCTCAGCTTCCTAGGAAGCATACGTATGTGAGGCCTGCTGACAAATTGAGTTACTTCTCAGATTTTAACCCAATGGAAATAAGTATGTCAAATTTATTGGTGGAGTGTGTACAATTTATAAATATAAAATAATAAAAAACAATTTATACTTGAAGAAAATGGCATCAATTGAAAATCTACAAATTTGAGGCCAGTGTCGATTTTGGCCGATATCTCATTTCATATATCGCGAGAAATAACTCACTTTGTCAGCACGCCTCATATCATATCATACTCTACTCTGTTTGAAGGACAGTTTGTGGAGCGCATTTAACTTTTTCATGATACTTCCCTAATATTTCATTGCTAGCATGCTGTCCATAAGGCACGGACTCTATCAAGGTTCTGGAAAAATGTCTCGAGAACTTACCCTTGGCAAAACCTTACCTGAGGAGGAAGGGGGTGTATTACATCCACAAAATTTTCTGGAAAGATTCCAGACATGTTGCCAACGCGTCCCTCTAACCACTGGTCATCGATGCGGCGAAGCAGATACACGGTAGTTCCATTCTGAGGAGGAGAGACAGAGAGCAGTTCAAAGTATGAGCTGGGGGAGAACACCACTCTCAGTGAAAACAAAAGATCCAAAACAGGAAATAACCATTTACCAAATTTAAAAAAAACACATTTTAAAAAAAAAGAAAAGTTTTTTTACACCTCTTCATTGGCACAATTTAGATCCTTAAGAGGACTGGTGCCCGACCCTGCCTGTTAGGACTATTTATCAGAAGAGCAGATCAAGAATAATAATAATAATAATAATAATAATAATAATAATAATAATAATAACAATAATAATAATAATAATAGTAATAATGGAAATACAGTGCCTGAAAAATGCAGAATGAAAAACATTTACTTCAATGGGATATAAAAACAGCAGCATTTTTCTTCATGAGAACTTTCATTATCTCATAAATCTGTTGTTTAGTAAAAGGATTTTTTAACTTTGGGAGGACTTTAAATTCTTTAAGGTCTGCATCACTCCCCCATTTTGCAGAATATTTATCCTGAGCCCACAAAATGGCTCACTTGTATATATCCTTCAATTCCTATAAGTAGTCAATTAGTTGAAAATAATATTCTTCATAAACTAAGCACTCTCAGTAAACAACAAAAAGCGTGCACCGAACTTTCAGCAAACAACTGAACTACAGCCAGCAGTGGGCACACATGCACGCACGGACGCACATGCACAAACACACACACACACGCACGTACACACACACATCCACACCCACACACACATACATACGCACACACACACACGTGTATGAGTTCTAACCATGGGATGTAGTGTTGTTGTTATGCTGAGAAAATGAAAACATTGGGAGCATTAGAGGCCAAAGTTCGCCTTGATGTTTCTCCCTCCAAGTAGGTCAATGCTTGATCACAGGGAGGTAATGTTATGCAGAGTCCCTGAGACTCCATTCCACCACCCCCCACCACCCCCAGCCAGGAGATTCTCGACTTGAAGGGAAAGTAGCTCTTGGTGAGATGGTGTGAGCTGAGCTTCTGTACTCAGCACGCTTTGGTCCAACCAGGTGTTGTGACGAGAATAAACAATTGTTAATTTGTGGCAAAAACAATTGAAGAGCACAGGGGGAAAATGGACACAGTCACAAACTGAAAATCGTGAGGGTATCAATTTTGAACGTTTGTTGGCTCATAACTGTATTTCTGTTCAACTGTTTGTTGATTATTGCTGTTTGATTTCCCATTTAACAAACATAACAATAAACCACCATTCAAACAAATATGAAGATACGAGTCCACAATTGACGCCCTCACAATTTCCAGTTTGTGACTCTATCCGTTTTTCCCCATGTGCTCTTCAATAGCTGTTAGAGAAAAAGGTTAGTATTCATATATAGGACAATTCAGTTCCGCAAGCTTAGGTTGCTACTAGGTGGAGTTTGCCTTTTATCTGGGTAGCTGTTAAGTGGACACCATTGTACTCACCGTAAAGGACAATTCATCAGACTGTGAAGCTGTGTAGTCGTACAGTGCAATGCCATGTGGCTGATCTGGTGGATCTTTCGTCTCAAGAGAATCTGGAATTACACCATTAAGAAGATATGAAATTCATCTCAGAAAGTCTGAATATGTTTTGACCTTTTATCCACTCTTTTCCAAGTCTTTACAGACAACAAGTCTTTACTGCACTAGTCCTAAGACTTTGATAATTGTTAACTCCAATTACGCTATAAGAAATGAGAAAGTTAAGCAAAAGCAAACCCCCCCCCCCGAAAATGAAGATCACCGATTTGTTTCATCTAGTCTCTATTTAGGAATATAAAAAATGCCGTTTGAGTTATTTCTTTCATTTTGAGGTCGATCTTGACATCACTCTTCCATCTTCTACAAATTCTTCTCATATCCTAAAGATTAGCTCAGCAGAACCCAGGTGTCTCTTGAAAATGTTTTTACACCTTAGAGAAGATCTGCTTTATGTTTGTTTTAGTTATAGCGGTCTCTTGGTATCCTATCACCCCTCATGATGTCGAGATATAAATTATACAAAAGATCCATGAATATTAATTTTTGGGGGAAGAGCCAAATTAGTGCGTTTAACATATAACAGTTACATCGTCATCTTCATCCCTATAATGTAATGGAAACTACCTCGAGAATTTCCTTCGGGTTTCCGCATAGCAGGGGGTCTTATTGGCTGCGGGCGTGGTGGAGGTTTTCCTTTGCTCTCTACATTTGGAGAACTGAAAAACACAAAAGTACATCCAAAATTTCAAAAGTTAAGACACTAAATTCAGGATGCCAGCAGAGTGCTGTCCTAAAACTTAAGTGAAATACAATAATTGTAAACTCTAGAGGGTCCACAATTTACATTTACGGAAAGAAAAACAAAATTGTTATGTTCCTAGAGAAGGATTTTAAAAAATTCTGGCACCCCTTTATGGTGGTTCTAACAGAGTGAAGCATTTGCAAGATTCATTATTGTATTCTTTCTGATATTTGAAACCATCCTCTTTGTGTGAGTTTTGAACTGCATAACAAACCAAAGATGGATATCTTACGCACTGTATCAAGGAACTGGCTCTGGACAAAAGCTTAATATTACTTAATTGATTACACAAAAATGACTCAAAACATATTGTTTTAAATCAAAATGTGTTCTGGCATAGGTAAACATATTATAAACAGTTTGGTGAAGTTTCATATCTATAACTTTACTAGAAGCAGAGTTATTGATATCAAAGTGACCCATGTCTCGCAGAGTCAGAAAGCAGTCATAGTCAGCTCCGGTTCAGGAGCAGTGAAAATCAAGTGTGAGGTCGGTCCCCTAGGTGTTAACTGGAACATTACCTGATCCTATAGCATATCCTTGGAACATTTTCTTAACTGAAGCTTGTACTTCTTCGTTCAGAATTGGTAGTCTGTTTCCTTCTTTCTTTATTACAGGTTTTTCTCCTTCATTATCTTAAAAAAGTTTTACATACGCCGACAATTTGTTTTAAACTTTTCCTTTGTTCACTAAAAATATCAACATCCTTTTGATCTTATGTGACCTGTATTTGAGCATCTTTTCTTCTTACCTACTTCTGGGGAAAAATACCCCTTCAACTTAAGCCGCCTCCGCTTTGTTCAACATCAACTACTGGTATGTTGACTAAAGACTAGAAACTATGACTTCTGATATTTTCAACAGCTACTGAGAGTAGCCTTAGCGAAGTCAAATCTCATTATTTATTTATCCCTTTTATTCACGATGACGTTCAAAGCTAAAGTCATGTCTGTAGCAAAACAAAGAAAAATCTCCATAATGCTATTCTGTATGAAAGTCGAATAAGAACTTATTCTATTCTCGAAAGAGAAGTTGCCTGATCAACTACATCTAAAGGAGTCTTGGCCGTTTCATTCTTCACCTTTCACTCTGTGAACTTGAGCTATGAGATCGTTGTTTCCCAGACACTGCAGACTTTAGTCCAGTGTTCACCGGAGGAGGAGGTCGGGATGGCAGCTCACTTGGTCTAGAGGGCGGCTTACTTGGTCGTGACTGATGGTGATCTGTATCAGAGAATACTGAATAAAGGTAGAAACATGATAACATTTTTAATAAGCCCAGTAAAAAAGCAAAAATATACATAAGTGCAAATAAATTGAGATTTCTCAGGATAACTCCCATTTTATGCAAGCATAAATAAAGTAATGCAAATACATTTTTTTTAAAAACAAGCTGAAAGTTTGAAATAGGGTGGTTAGACATAATACTCACAGCATGATGAATTGCCTTCAGTAGGACTCCTGATAGTTAACAGAAAAGAAAAAGAGAAAGGCTATTTGCAAGGCTTTAATTTTAATTTTTTTTTAAAGCGTTTTAGGCCACACGTAACGCAATCGGTTGTTTAAGTACCAAAGATTACAGGCGTTACAAGAGAGTAAAAAGGAGGAGAGATAAGGACGATAGATGTTTGATAGGAAGGAAGAAACAAACCACACCATAGCACCCATCAACCACTTAATATCTGCAATGCAACAATGGAAAGGGTATTAAAAAAAGCAAGAAAGAACATCTGACCACTTTCAATACGTTCTTTTGGCATACATAAATTGTGTACTGACGACAGCTTTATACACCACTGTGTAGATAGAAAAAAATTCAGTACCAGTGCTTCAACTACGGAGTTTTGAGTTCGAGTAAAGAGAGGCACATTGGCAAAACACCAGTCTCATATTATTGCAGGAAAGAAGCAAGATAGATAGACAGAAACAATCGAGAGAAAGAAAAGAAGCAGGACCCACCAGTGGTGCCCTCCAACCACCTGTTTCAACAATTGAAACTTGGGACATCTGTCTTGAGAGGATCAAAACATGTTAATTTTGTAATCTTGTTTCCATTTCATGTCTCCCATTTTGACTGAAAGAGAAGAAGGCCAAGAAGAAAGAAAAAAAAAAAGCCAGCATCTCAAACTGAACTGCAAAGCTGCACTTTCAAATGATTTACATTTGTGAGAACGGAACAGAAAGTAACAAAAAAATACCTTCAACTTTGTCTTTGAAATCACCATGTGAGTTGTGCAGAGAAGCAAGCTGCTCTCCTGTGCTGCCAGCTACAGCTGGTGTAGCATCCGTTGTAAGATTGTGCAAAGTTTGACCACTGGGAGATACGTCTGAGTGTTCGTTAGACTGAGACGGTGGTTGCTCATCACTTGGATGAGCTGGGACTTCAGCCTCGCTAGTCAACGTTGGGGGAGGAGGCCGCAGAGCTGGTGGTCCAGGTCTTGTTGGTGGAGTTCTGGTTGGGGGGGGGGGGGGGGGGGGGGGGGGGGGGGGGAGCGATAGGACGGAAAATAATGAGGTCAGTTTTAGTTTTAGTGAGAGTTTTATGGCGCTTGCAACACAATAAGGTCATATAAGGGCTGAAGATTAGAGGTGTTACAAGAGAGTAACAAACACAGAAAAGAAGGAGAGAAAAGGACGATAGGTGCTTGATAGAAAAGAAGAAGCAAACCAAACCATAGCACCCACCAACCACCCTCAAAACACCTTTAAAAAGAAGATTAAGAAACAAAAAAGACACACATAAGTAAAGAGCACAAGCAAATATGGGAAACTTTGACACAACAACTGACAAAAACTTACTTTTTCAAGCTCTTTTTCTCTTCACTGAGTGATGCTGTTGGTGTGGAGGCCGATTCTGAAGCTGCATCATTTTGTCTAGAGATGACGGCCTCATTGTCTTGAGAAGACTGTAATTTTTTTGGCAACCCAATGAAAGTAACTGGTCGCTTCACCGGAACAGGGGGAGCATCAGACTTTGAACCATCCGACCCTATCGAGGCAGGAGCTTCTTTAACATCTGTTTTGGCAGGAGTCTCTGGTGGGAGCTCCGGTGGACGTGATGGCGCCCCAATAATTGTAACAGGTCTCTTCGATGGCAATCTGGGGGCAGTGGGCTGAGGACGGCGCATCTCTGGTTCATCCTGCTTGGCATTCTGTTCAAACTTGGCAAGCAGGCTTCCAGACAGGTGATGAGGTTTGACCGGATCTGGTGACAAAGCCTCGTCGGGTTTCTGGGTCTGGTCTGATTCTATGACATGACTTTCGGCAGTCGGTTCAGAGACAACTCTGTCCTGGTTAGTATCACGAGGGCTGGCTCCAGAGAGGCTACTGCTGTCAGAAGCAGAAGATGAGAGAGGAGAAGCTGATGAAGACGTTTCACCGGGACTTGTACTGCTTGGCATGTCCGCAGGGCCTCCCACTGGTCCCGATGGTGTCAGGGCAGGTTTAGGTTTGGGCTTCGGTTTTGGCTTAGGTTTTGGTTTAGGTTTACTTGTCCGACGTTGGTCCGAGTCTGCATGATTGGAATTCCCACTATTTCCTTTATTTCTTTTCTCCGCAATCACAGGATCACTTTGCTCTTTGTTGACATCTTCATCAGGACGAGCCACTGTTGACCTCAATTTGACCTTGAAGGGAAATTGTGAATCGGACTCACCGTCATCTGTCTTATGTATTGTAGCTGGTGAAGGTTTCCTCGCTTTATTGATAGTAGCATAAACAGGTTCAGGATCATGGAAAGGTTCTGAAAGTACTGCTTTTGTCTCTTCTGTCGGGTTAGGATTTAATGCACCCTTATCAACACTTTTTTGACTATCAGCAAGTGTTGAGGGGTCAGTACTCAAAGACTCATCTGAAACATTATGTCCTGACATTTCAGTCTCAGTGTCCCCAATTGTCGCGTAGACATCTTCAGGGCTTTCAACGGACGCCACTGCTGAAGGCGACACACTCTGTGGTGTAGAAGGTCTTGGTGATTTATTAACAGTGGGGGGTCGTGGCGGCGGTGGTGGCGGTGCGGCAAGGCCAGATGGGACTGGAGGAGTGGGGCGAGGTGGGGGACTCTTCAACATGTTGGGTGACACAGGGCTCCTGGGAGAGCGACTAGACTCTGAACTTACGGTATGAATGCTGGGTTTCTCCATACTTAACACTGAGTCATGAGGATGGCTGTCTCGAGGCGAAGCTTTCGGTTCTTCATGGCTCTCTCGAGTCACTTTCTCCTGGTGTCTGGGCGAAGGGCTGGGTCGGGGCGACGGGACAGGAGAAATTTTCTTCTCTACATCAGTTGATTCCTCCAGTGGCTTTGACTCAGAGGTGGAGATCATGGCACTTCTTGGTCGAGGTCTTGGGTTTGTAGGTCGGGACGGCAACGGACCAGAAGGAACATGTGGGGGTGGAGGAACCAGGGGAAGAGGCCGAGCTGGAGGAGATGGTGAAGTTCTCTCTTCTGTGTTTTCACCTCCTGTCACAGCACCTTGTGGGAATTGAAAGAGGAGAAAAAATGAAAGGGCCATTCTAAATATCGATTCACCTTTCAAAATGGATAACAGTTTAAAAGCAACATTAAAATCAATAGCCAGCTGAAGTTGTGTCAACAAGTTTGAGTAAGATTAAATTCTGAGGAGACAAAGGACAGAAAAGAGGACATATTTCTTGAAACAACTTCTACATCTTCATACATGGAAGAGACAATGTACTTTTAGAACACAATAAATATATAAGAAAAATATGTGGCTGAACAAATACTTAGTCTTGAAACCGGTACCCTCTACTTCTGGATTAGGTAGAAACTTTTCATGATAAAGTAGAAAACCATCAGTAGAATCACCCTTACCTCACAGAAGTAGAGACAAAATGCCACAAGTCCTTCAGCAGAAAACTGCAATATCATTGTCCAAATCTTTTTTTTTAAAATTCGCACTCCTCTGTAATCATCCCTACATATATATCATATATTTTAAAAAATAAGACAAAACAGCCTGCATCTACAGAAAACGTACTTAGCTCTGATTCACTCTTTTCTGGTGACAGGAACTTTGACTTTGGCCGAATGATAGTTGGCCTCACTGGCCGAGCAGGTCTGGCAGGATCTGAGCTAGGAACGTCCCCAGAAACAATTTCCTTCAGATCAAGGAGAGCGGACCCCGAGCCATCACTAGAGCTGGTGTTCCTTTGTGACATGATAGAGTTTATGACGTGCCCCTCATCAATATTTATCTGAGTCCGCCCCACCATCGAAGGTCTAAATGGCTTTGGAGGAGGCGCTTCTGCAGAAGCTGCATTCACATCTGCCTCTGTCTTTGAATCTGATGTGACTGTGGAAGACACAACATTCACATTAAACGCCACGAAGTACAATCTAGATAAAAAGACACTTTCGGTTTCAACTCTTTTTAAAAATTTACATTTCCAAAGAATAAGACTAAGAATACACTTCACGAATGTTTCATTCTCAACACCATGTGTACATTATTTGGAAATCCTAAGTACAGTCAAACCTCATTATAACACCACCCTTGGAACAGGCATGAGGTTGGCGAAACAGCGTGGCAGGCGGTTCAATGGGGGGTTTCTTCGTTGTGTAGCCCCGACTGCTCAACGTTAAGGAACATGATTCTGCTGTGTGATCTAGGTTTGAAAAATGTCTTTTTCTTGGAGATATACATATGTACATGCACATGTATTTAGAGCAGAGAGTCTTCTCATCCTCTTTCTCTCCTTTTTCTATGTCTTTCTGAAGGGAGAAAGATTACCAAGCAGCCAACCAGTGGGTGTTGTGTACCGTGTGCGGTACAACAAGGTTTGCCAGTACGTTTAACATGTTCTAGTCAGTTTTTCACATAAAGCTGCCACAAACTTTCTTTAAAAAAAAAAAAGATGTCTGTGCACTAGTTCCCAGCCTTGCAGTCAACACAGCTTAAAAGCCAAACCTCTAGTTTTCATAAAAATATTAGAAATTCATTAAAACTTTTGTAACAGATAACATCTTTCCGAGGGTAAGTGCAACGAGCACTAAGTTGAAACAACAAATGTTGTCAGTAACTCTCGAAATTACACAAGGAATGAAAAGTTCAAAAACGTAACAGAAAGAAATTACAGGCTGTTGAGAACACCATCTAACTTTAACAGGTGAATTACAAGTCCAAAGTGAAACCATCTTTTAAAAAATATTTTAGACTTTATAAGGACCCTAAACCAAAAAGAGGTAAAAGATAACAGTAAAATATAACCACAAATATTAGAGAGAAAGAGAGGGAAATACGGAGAGGGAGGGAGAGAGGGAGGGAGAGAAGGAGAGAGAGAGAGAGAAACAGAGAGAGAGAGAGAGAAAGAGAGAGAGAGAGAGAGAGAGAGAGAGAGAGAGAGAGAGAGAGAGAGAGAAAGCACTTTTTTAGAGAAAATGTGTTGTATAAGTGAGATTTTAAAAATTATTCTTACTATTTTTTACACAAATAGAAGGGCTTGTCTGTTAAAAAAAACTTTCAACAGTGTCCAGTTTTCCGCAGGAGAAAGATTACGAAATAAGTCAGTACCTTGCTTGGGAACAGATGGTGGTGGTCTAATGATTGTAGGTCTCTTCGGTTTCAATGGCAAGGGAGGCAGTTCCTCCTTGGATTGTTGATCAACCTTCTCTGACATTTCAAAAGATTTTGTAACTAATGCTGCTACTTGAGAAGCCGGCATGGACACTGAAATGAACAGATTAAAACACTGAAGCGGATAAAATCAAGGAAACGGGTACTTCAATAAATGGCGGTGAAAAAAGATGGTGACTAGAGATGAGCAATAAACGGGACTTATGTCAAAATAGGAAAAAACAACTCTTACTAAACATTCTAGGAACAGAACATCCATAGAACAATATAACCGTTACATTACATATGACAGTTGGAAACTAGACCGAAAATTTTTTAAGACTTCATTACAGTCAAATAAGAGACAATACCAAAAGAATTTTCCTTTCAAACTCTCATGTTATGATATACATGAAATCATAACAACTATGCGTACACAATTTGACGAGGGCAAATAGTAAGTTGGAAGACATGTAATAACACCAAGCGGCTAACCCAGGATCGGGAAAAGTAGAAAGTGTTTGTTCGTGGCCTATATCCTGATCCAGGGTGAGAAAGGCAATGATGATGATGATGAAATAGCATGTGCAGTGACAGTCACACCCCCCCACCCCCCCTAATAAGAAAAAAGAAACCAAGAAAAAAAGCCTACTTACTGGGTCGTGAAGGCTTTGAACCTTTTGGTCTGAGCGGCACGCTAGGACCAGGTGGTGAGAATGCTGTTGACTCACTGCCAGCAGAACATGTCCCTGATTCCAAGGCTGGTGAGTTTGGGCTCAGTTCACGTGACCTGAGGCCTCCTTTGATATCTCGAAATCCCATCTCGCTCATGGGTCTGGCATCCAAAATGGTAATTTCAATTTTCCTGAGAAGAGAAAGGACTTGACTCATAAAATAAATAATCACTCACAACACATCAAAATCGTCTTCCTTTACTTTAAGGCAATCTACATTGTATTGTATGTGTTTTTAATTAGAGTTTTGCATTAAAGAGCCGAAGATTTGAGGGGTTACTAGAAGGAGAGACAAGAAAGATAGATGTTTGATGAGTAACAAGGAGCAAACCACACCAGAGCATCTACCAACCACCAAAACAAAAGAGAAGGTGAGATTGTAAGTGATAAAGAAAAAAAAAGCTCCCTACTTTATTTTCCTAACATGAGCTTATATGATGAAACTCAGACTGCTACTCTCCTTTTCTGAAAAGGTTGCAAAGTCACACTGCTAGAATCAACGGAGAGAAATTCTTTAGATACTTATGTTTGATGGAAATTTTTCAACCTCACACATTTACTCTGCCATACATATACATCAATTCAAAATCAAACTGGGCTTTCAAAAGATAAATGGTTACTCCAGTTTCAATGCTCATCATACTATATCAGTATGGAATTTGGGAGTCATAATGATATTTACAAAGAAAGGCACAATGTCAATGACATCCCTAGTATGATAGAAAAGAGGAAACAGAACCTAAAATAGAGAAGAAAAAAATTTCAAAATCATTTCAAAGAGACAATGCGTTCTAGCGATCACAGCATTAACATACTTTTTTCCAGCTCCAGGCTTCGCCTTTACTGATGAACTGGATCCATTTGCAGCACCAATAATGCTTGGCGGTCTCTTTGGAAGGTCTGAAAAAAAATGACACAATGTGGTTGTACAAGTCTGAAGACAAAACAACACAAATTTAGAAGTAGTGCAAGGCAGTTTGATGAGTTTTGGGTGAAAATGAAAATAGAAACAAACACTATTTGCTCTCTCATGTCTTGGGTCTTTACCAGCTTAGTTTCTTTCGGAGGGCATAAAAAGCCCTTCCTGTGGCACTGACAGCTAAGTTGTTTAGGTACTCCTTTCAAATATTTAATTTAATTATCCTTATCTGAACTGGGTTACTGGGGAGAAATGGGCCACTATCTTTTTATTCCTGTATGGTTAGGTACTTATTGCAGGGTCACACTAACAAGGGCTTTAGGGCTTTTAGATGACATGGTATGAAGAAATTCATTGAAGTAGAGCTACCTCCTTGTCCGTATCTTTCTGTTCCACACAGAGAGCATAATATAAAGTGAACACGGAGTTTGTGAAGACATGGATGGTTGTTACAATTGGTGGGATTTTTTAAAAAGTACTGTTGATGTCATTGACTGTGTTGTTGATCTGTTGTCTGAGAGTTTCAGTTTAGTGACTGTGCTTCAAAAGATGGTGGGAGGATGTTTACCATATGCCACAATAGGATCTTTAAAAGAATTCAGTACAAATAACAAATCAAATAATGAAATGTTGACATGAACAAACTAAGAAACTTAACTACAGATATTTCAACAATATTAGATTGATGTCTGAAAAAAAAGAAAAATAATATATTCAAAGAGCATTTTTTTCAAATCTAACTATAAATACACTTAGATCCCAGACAAGATGCAACCAGTATTTGTTAGGGGTACCTGTTTTTTTAGCCATTTCTGGAAGGGAAGAAATGACAGCTTCGGCTGGGCTAGACCTGGGAGTTGCGGGAGCAGACCGGGCGGGAACTGGCCGAGGTGGTGGCGCTGGACCTTCAAAACAAAATTATAAGAAAGTACTTGAATAATAATATGTAAAAACAGAAAATCCAACCTACCATCACTCCTGAAAGATAAATGATTCTCTTTGATTAAATAAAGTTGACACTTCTGGCTCTGTGATCTCCTAAAAAATAAAAATGGCATATTGGAAATCAAAAATGGAAAATTAAAAAACAAACGAAAGTTGCACTAGAATAATACGTGAGGCATCGTGGTAGAATCAGGTGCTCTTCAAAATAAAGAAATCGTATAAACTGGCATTGCTCTGTCCATTTGGCAATTTTTATCGAATTTTTGTTTTTTCACTCAACACCTTAAAAGACCATTTAAAAACACATTTCTGTGTCAATTTTATAGAACAATGTTGATTTAAGGCTCAAAAATGTAAATTGCAGTTTCAAAGGACTCTCAAGCTTTGGAAGTCAACCAACTTTGGCGGTCATTTTTTCGCTTAAATTTTACCTCTGAAACCTGGTGACCCCTACGTCCTTCAATTGCAAATATCTACACTTCTATTCATGATATATGAGTATTTGTTTCATCATAAGCAAGACAAATGAACAACCTTTAAAATTATACCAATAACTCCACACGTAAAAAAATTGACGAGCGTCTGATTCCACCGCGTCATGACATGTCAATTCTGTCGTCATATACTTGCAGCCGAGGGTAAAAAAAGCACTCCAACTCAAGTGTATTTTTAAGTTTAAGTTGAACTCAACATAACCGTGGACTTTTAGTTCCAATAAATGCAAAGAGGAAGTGCTGGGAACCTAGAAATAGCTCAGCGTAACCAAAAATAGATTCAAGTAACTTCAACACAAGTGGAATCCACTGTACTCTTTTTATGTTATCAATTTGGATGGAATCATGAATGAACTCTTCATTTCTCTTGTGATGTTATTGTATCTAGAACAATCTAGACTGGTAATTCAATCAGTGTGAAGTCAGGTCATGCAGTTACTCTGAGACAAGCTGAGCCTCTGGTTACAGTATTTTAAAAATCCAATATTCCATTAGAGCTCAAGAATTAAGACTGCAGATAATCCCTTTCTTTGAAGTCACGTGAATTTGTCCATTGAAGTCTATAAAATTTGGGTCCATCAGGCATGCACAAAAAAAAGAAGAACCTATTATAACTCTATAAACATTTATTTTATAATATATATATTATTTTATATATATTTAATATTTTGTCAGTATAAAATCTCCCAAAATCAACATACAATAAAATGTATGCTTTGAAAAAAAAGCACCACAAAACTTTTTAAAAAAGTTTTCATCAGAGGAGGCGAGATAAAAATTCAGCACAGGACAAGTGTTAAAAATCACACTAACTTTGCGCTGTTGAACTGAAAAGAAAATGAAGAGGCTAGCCGCAGCCTGCCTGTCTAGCTGTCCGTAAGTGCGGCTAACCTGCCAGTCTAGACGTACTTAGGTTACGCCCTATTGACTAAAAACCTGTTGAGTACACAGGTCTCATTAGATCTAGTAAATTAATTATTCAGGTTTAAAATACATGCATGTCTGTAAGGCACCTTTTGTTTCGTCTGAAATACTTCAAATACTTAAGGTATTGCAATTATTGCAAACTAAAATTTCATTTACAATTTGTCAACCATCATTATCAAGTACGGCTACCCTAGCTGTCTAGCCGTACTTAGCCTAGTAGAGTTGAGTACACAGGTCTGATTAGTAATTATATAAATTCAAGTTCAAAATACATGATGTATCGTCAGAAAGGCACCTTTTTGTTTCATCACCAATACAAACTTTAACTTTAGGAGTTGCAAACTAAAAATTTATTAACAATTCAGTTTGCCTATTTTTTGCTGTTTGTCAGTCTAGCCATCATTATTAGTACGGCTAGCCTAGTGAATATAGTGTTTTCAGCTGAGGTAAACTCCCTCGTACGCTTTAGTGTATGGAAGCAAGAGCTGGTCTCTAAACAAAGACACAGAGAGAAGACTGGAGGCCGCTGAAAGGAGAATACACTCAGAATCTCATGGACAGAGAGGAAAACAAACAAAGAAGAGCTCCACACGGCAGGTTATTTAAGATCTAATATAGTGTAAAGCGCATAGAGCCTGCTGCTGAGCGGGGATATGCGCTATACAAATGCTATCTATTATTATTATCTATAATCAGAACCATCAGAAAAAGACAATTGAGATTCTTTGGCCACGTAAATAGATCAAATGGACTAGAGACGGAAACTGCTGCTTAGTGGAAGGAAGGGGTAGGCTACCCATCAAGTTCTGCTTCAGACCAGACACTTCCTTGTGAAGTGAAGGGAGAAGGAACAAGTGTAATTGTCAACAAAAAGTGAAGTGCAGCCATCTGTAGTGGTCAGGTCTAGCCACACTGTGGTACCTGTACAGGTAACAAAGTGTAACAAACAAAGAGTGAAGAAAGATCACAATAACAAACAAGTCTAATAAGCTAGAAGTTAGAGAGAAGGCTTTTGTCTTTGAAAAGTAAAACTTGTAAAACTGCAAACCCTTTCATAACTTTTCTACGTCTAAGTTCTGCAACCATCCTTGGCTACTCTCAACTCTCAGGAAAACTAGACTCTAATTCTAATGGAAATTGCATGCTCCTGGGGGGGGAATCCCAAGCTACAGTAAACTAATACCTGTCAGGACTGGTGCAGCTGCTCGTATTATTGTAGCTCGTTTAGGCTTGAGAGGAAGTGGGACACCTCCCACTCTCACATTCTGGTGGCCAGCATTATCAGCCATGACTTATAAAACTGCAGACAAACGATCCACGGACGGGATATTTGTATAAACTTGTACAGGGAAAGATCACTTCTAATCTATTTCATTAAAGTTAAAGGAAAACATCCTTGAGATCCACTGTTGTATTTATGAGCTCACAGGACGATGGCACAGTCAAGAAATCTCTTGTCACAGGCAACCATTCACGGGACATCACTCAGCTCAGATAAAGGCTAAATCAAAATAAAGGTAGCTTTCTGGTAGATCGAGCAGTTTAAATAAAGTTTATTTATGAATGGGGCGGTGAAAGATCTAATTTGGGCTCTCCTAAATGCACGTAAAATGGGCATAACTTGTTAAATTCCCCGGAAAACACAGCTCGAACAAAGATTTAAACGAGTAGAGCTTGCTTTATTCCGTTCCCTTTAGAAAAATCCTTTTGTAAAGTGTCCCCGGGAATGTCAATAGCGTACTCATTATTTTTCCCAAAGGAATGCATAGCCCACAGAATTCTACAGAATTCTGTGGCATAGCCTCAAATTAGCCTGCTTTTCAGAGGTCGAAGAAATTCCGAACCGTGCAGCTGGCGGGCGACCTACTGGCCTGTTACATACTGCCGGAGTACTGTGCGCTCCCCGCACACAATGTCCATCGCTTCCTAAAAAGGAAATCTGAAGTCAGCGCATCAGATTTGTCATTCTTCCTGCTACTTTTTTTTTGCGTAACCTGGTCTGACGGAGACTGGCAGACATCGATGACAGGAGGGCGTTTTTTTTCAATTAACCGTTTATTTTCTTTGTCTTCTCTAAAAATAATAACACTAAAACAAAAAGAAAATAAAAACGTAAGAACAGTCTCATTTATAAGCAGAGCTGCGTTCAAAATATTTCGTTTCTTGCTTGCAAGGTTTTATTTGCGCTCGCGCGTTTAATGTGCGTGTTCGTGTGTTTGTGTGTGTATGTTGAGTTAGCGCGCGCGTGTCTGTGTGCGTGTGTGTGT